CCTGTAAGCCTGGGAAAACCATTACATACATTTAACTTAAATAATTTGACTTTTTGGTGGTGGCAACATTTCTGTTCTTCAGGTGGGAAATTAATTTATTTCAATTTTATTTTTGAACTTTCTTACTCAGTTTAATGAGACGAAAAAAAAAAAACTTGTTTTCTTTCAAAAATGCATTTTGTCAACAGCTACCCAAAATAGAAATTGTACAAAACTCTCCACAGCAGGTCCGGAACAAGGTTCATCATTGGAATAAACTGGAAACATAAGATCCAGCCAACCTATTATCAGTTATTTTCTTCCACCCAAACTCATTTAACTGCTTCAGGTTGTTCCTACAAAACCCAGCTCTCTAAAGATCGTTGTTATTGATCTGCCTACAAATCCTTGGCAACCTTCCACCGACTGTTTGACCCTGCCACAGCTTTCTTCCTCGCTCTCAGATTCCACTGGTAGCTCTTGATAACGCAGGATCTCAGCGTTTTTCTTTGATTAGGCAAAAACTCCATGTGCCCGCAGCATTGCAATAAATAGAAAACACTGTTATTATTTTACCTGTGCAGAGACAATGAGATCATAAAGCTATAAGGGCACTGCTATCGTTGTTACTGTAAATGTACCCTCAATATGGCAAAACAGATTTAATGGTTTACCATTTTCTAKTATTCTTATGCGTCTTTTCTTCAGTTGTTTATTATTTTATTTGGCCAATATGTTTGAGAGAAGGCTGCCGTTTTGACAAGTCATCAGTAAATCATTAGGTAAAATTTGCTTTATTTCTTCATTTGTAGTTTCCATACGGTTATTGACTCAGGACACAATGCTGGTGAGGAGTCACTCAAACCTCTTCACATTCTGTCTAAACTGATTGTGCATTTGGATGTAGAAAGATGTCTTGATTTGAGGTTTTTCCTATTTTTTTCCCCAAATGATGATCATAATAAGGATGTACTTTATTTGCAGACCATTAAAAACAAGCAATAAAACAGACACCAAAAAACAAAACAAAATACAACAAAAAAAGAACCTGATTGTTTCAGGAGACAATCATACCAGTGTTGTAACATATTGCACTGTGTACAGCATTAATCACTATAAATTTGATGACGCCATTATCAGAATCATTAAGTTGTCAGATAAATGTATACACAACATTTCTTAAAGGGGCAATATTATGTGTTTCTCAGGCATATATTTAAATACTATACCATAATAAAGTATCTATGTCACCTTTAGCTGTTATTAAAACGCTGTTTTTATGTTTAAATAGAAAAATAAACTTACAACTCAGTGCGGGGGGGTCCCCTCATGTGCGGCACGCACTATGATGCAGTTTACTTG